TACCTTTTTAAGAAACTTGAAATGGCTTTCAAAGGCAGCTTGTGGTCCTTTATTTGGGACAGTAAATGAGAGTTGCAGTTACTGCATATTCTTGTCAAAGTCTGATTCTTCTTTCAACCTTGACCATTCTAGGAAGTCTTTAGTGGTGTATTATGGATTAGGTTGAGATAACTAAGCTCAATAAAGCCATCAAACCCTCTTGTTCTATTTACCAAGTGTCTGGGTGAAGAGTGGTTCAAAATTTTGCTCTTCTTTTAGTGGGTCATAATGTTTTCTTTCTGTTGAGATTTTTGTTTTGTTTTGTTTGTTTCTTTGTGTAACAGCTCTGAAACATTGAATTTGAGAGTCATTTATCAGCTATATGTGATTGGAAGATCTGTTCTATGAGTTTGTTCTGTTTTTTTCATTTTGGAGTGGACTGTATTTGTTTTACATTAGTTAATTACAAGGGAACATAATTTAAACTGTGTTTGGGGGCATTCTAAGAGCACTCATAGAGGGATTTGTGAAACAGCAGGGATTTCAAGCAACAGCAACTGAAGCAGAATGTGTTGAATGGAGAGAGCTGTTTGGTGGGAACCAGTTTCTGGAGTACTCTTCATCAAATCAATTAATAATGAGTTAATTAACTTGATCCTATTAATTAGGAGAAAACTGTATGGCACTTCTAGTCCAGCGCTGGTGTTTGCTTAAAACTATTAATTCTAGGGGATTTAAGACAGTTAAACAGATGGTTTAAAAACACGGAGAACGAAAGGACTCAGGAAAGAGTTTGTTTTGTGGGCCAATGGGCATTGTAACAGATTTAGAGAAAAGTGTCTGATGGGTAACAGTGAAGCTCTGACCTACTCTCAATTGCGAGCTCCCTCTGCATTTCTCACAATCAAAAAGCAAAGACAAAAGCCACAAATGGTTAGGACCTTGTCGCCTGTCTCTGGCAAATCTCCCTTGCTTCACACACAGATGCAGACAAGATGAGGTGGGCTGTCTTCAGAAGGGAAGTGACCTCAGAAGGTGGAGTTGGCCACTTCACATTCCTTTCTAGCCTGACCCACCCCAAGTCTCCAAGCATGTCTTTACCATCTCTATGTACTTACTTGATTCTCATGTATCTTATTTGATGGAGGCACCATTTACATACACTAGCCATTTTATCTGTTTTTTTTTTTTATTGCTATTGTACTTTCAGAGTTTTTAATAATAGATATGATACAATATTTTAATCAGATAAGTTATTGGAAAATATTTCCTATCAGTCCATAGCACATTCCTCATTTTCTTAAAGCATTTTATGAGTAAATCCATAGTGAGCTGTTATCTGGGTACCTGGAGGGCTTAATGCCACTTAAATACCTAAATATCATTTTTTTTGTTGTTGTTAACTACACGAAAGGTAATACAAATGTGTACTTAGGCAACACTGTATCTACATGCCCACACTGCCCATGTGTCTAGGCAACACTTCTGTATTTACATGTAGCCTATTGTTTCTGAAGATCCCCATAATAGCCATGAACTTGAGAAGGCTGCCCTACTAATTCACATCTGTAGAAACAATGTCTTCATGCTGTAGTTGGAGGTCTGAGGCAGCAGAAGGGAAAAGGGGGACCGGCGCTCTGTCATTGCTCAGTTTTCTGTCTGATCACCCACTATGGGTTTTTCCACATTCTATTTGACACATGGACCTGGACACTTTCTGTGATTCACACACTAAAATTCTGCACACATAGGACTTTGAGTAGTTTTATTTTTAGACAGGGTCTTACAATGTCACTGTGGCTGGCCACCATGCCCAGCTTGAAGGCAACAGAGAACGTCCTGACATCAGTATACATAACGTCAAGTTTCGAGTGAGACTGTCTGATCTGAAGAGTCTGGTTTGTCTCCATCAGGAAGTTGTCTAACTTACCCCAGGGAGCATCACATGTCCAGGCAGTTTGTGGAGTTGTTTCCTCTGTCTCTCTTCTCAGAACAAATTGACACTCTCAAACATGTTATATCAAACCATTTTATGTTTTATGTTTCTGTCACATAATCCTCAAGAGTGACTAATTTGTAAATAATAGAGGGTCTTTTGGCTCCCAGCCCTGGAGGCTGAGCAGCTTTAGATCAGGCAGCCACTTCTCAGCCTTGAGTCTCATAATGGAAAGCAGAAGAGAAGAGAAGTGTGTACATGAGCAGACGGTTCTGAACTTCCACAAGACCTGCCCCATGCCTCCAGAAACACATTGACTCACACATGGGGGCTCTTCACATACAAGCCAAACACCATCTCCCACCTGTTAACACAGCTTCACTGAGGAACTGAAGCCCCATTCCCACAGACACAAACATGCCAAGGACACTTCAACAGCACCGCATAGATGCTTTCCTGTCTTTTTGTTACTATACTCAACACTTCTAGATCTACTCTTCCATATTAAGTCTCTATAGGTATTTCCCTAGAGCATTATCCTTAAGAGTGTTCTGATGCCAGATAAAAGTATATTACCTTACCACAACTCCTATGCACAGCTATGTGCTTAGCATATACAGAAGCCACCCTTCAGGTTAGGGTTCTTTTGGGAATTTTCACCTATTCTTTATTCTGTCAATATGTTTTACTATCATTGGTTAATAGAGAAGCTGCTTTGGCCTATATCAAGGCAGGATAGAGCCAGGCGAGAAATCCAAGCAGAGATACTGAGAGAAGAAGGGTGGAATCAGGGGCATTGAACAACTGGAACAACGAGATGTTCTAGATAACTGGTAATATTACAAAGCCAAGTGGCAAAATATAGATTAATATAAATGGGTTAATTAGTAGCAGGGTGGTGGAGATGCATACCTTTAATCCCAGCACTCAGCAAGTTCAAGGCCAGCTTGGTCTACAATGCAAGTTTCAGGACAACTATGACTGTTACACAGAAACCTGTCTCAAAAAAGAAAAAAAAAAAAGAGTAGCCAAAGAGAGAGAGAGGTTAATTTGGTTAATTTAAGTTGTAAGAGCTAGTTAGTAGTAAATCTGAGCAATAGGCCTAAAGGTTTGTAATTAGTATTAAACCTCTGAGTGATTATTTTGGGACTGGGTGTCTGGGAAACAAAAGCCCTGAGACCCTGTTTACCATAGTGGACATACGCTTGGCAGTATGGACAGCTAGTAAGCTCAGCCAGGACTGTATTTTAAATTATGCAGAAATGGCATTTCCCCAGTGTATCTGTATCCTGCAGAGTATATAGCAAATGCATCCATTGCTGAGCTGTTTGCATCATTCTCTCGGCTGCTCTAGACCCTGCTTAACCTATGCATTTCTATAAACCGAGTCTATGCTTGACTCTCAGGCAGAAGGGAGTCTTGCTAAAGAAGAGCGTCTGGGAGGGCTGGGGCAGGGCATTGCAGGAAGTAAGAACTGTGTTCTCGGGGCACTTCAGTGGTTGGGGCCCATGCATACAGGCTCACTGTGATGATCCTGCTTGGTTTCACACTTTGAGTCAGAAAGGAGAGAGCCCTGTGCTGTCAACACAGTAGTAGCCTAGCCTGTTCCTAGACAGAGTTCTTCTGTTGAAAGCTCAGTCCTTTAGACAAAACTCTTGGAGTTTTGTAATACTCTCAGAGAAAATGCCTCAGTCTGGTAATAACTTCCATGATTCTTCATACTGCACTGCCTATGGAAAAACCCTCAGTAAGAACTTGGAGTGGTTACCAGATCTTTTTGAGACTTAGTTTTCTGCCTGGCCTGGAACATGAAGTAACATAATTATTTCTACCCAAGGGGCATATGGGAGAAAGGATCAAACCGATTGTGTCCATAGGTTCTCTACACAGTACTCATTTCATCAGGGCCTCTCAAGACATAACTGCTGTGTGTGGTACTAAGAGTGATTAAAAACCCAAGTTCCCAAGGGCTTGGTACATGGCAAAACCCTAGCTAGTTGGCACATGCTGGCCAGGTATCACAGGAATTCCTTAAATTCTTGATTTTTTTCTCAGGACAGTTGAGTAGTTGGTATCTTCTGTTTCCCCTGAATGCTCCTTCCTCGTATACTTTCTCTTTTCCCACTTAGAGACCAGACTTGATTTGATCTCTCCATCTTGGATTTGGCCCTTGGAGTATGCCACTTTAGATTGCAGAGCAAAGGGAAACCAGAAAGACAAATGCAGGATTCTGTGTGAGCAAAGTTGAGGGGCCAAGAACAGATAATTCTGAACGGTAAGTGGAGGACAAGACTTCTCAGGTTTTTAGGTCCAAGAAGGGTCTTTTCTGTCTTTGGCACCTTCCCAGGAAAGAGATACCTCCCGCTTCCCTGAAGAATCATGAGGATCAAGGTAAATATCAGAGGCTGCTAGGGGCTTCTCGGTCATAGGCATGGAGACACACGAACATTTTATAACCTGCTACAGCAGATCATCCCTACGATAGCAAAGTTTTTTGGGTAAATACATCAGCTGATACTTTCCTCTGCCTACCCTGGCGGCCAGCCAGGTTCTAACTTTATAAACATAGAGCCCCCAAATAGAGTAGACACATAGGACACTGGGGTTCTGGCTCTAGAACCACCTGCTTGCCGCTTTTTCAATTCCACACCAGGCAATGCCACAATTATTTCCCCAGAAGCTTTAGGTCCTACATTATCTCTTACCTTGTGTAACGCATGTGTAACTCCTTTGATTTTAAATTCCTCAAAGACAGGAGTCAGAAGCTACATTAGTTTCTAGCAGTGCTTTACAAAGAACACTTTATAAAGGAAGTCCAGCAATTATTAACATAGATTGCTTTATAAGTGAGCAGAAATTATATTGCAACATTGTCTTTTGTGTCATAAATATTTTTATTTTCCTAGGATAAATTTTTTTAAATTAAGAGTAGAAAATAATTTAAATTATAAATTAGTAAAATGTCCAAGGCTCCCTTTGACCTTTCAGATGCAGTCCACTGACTGCCAGTCACAGAACAAGCCTCTGATGCTTAAAGATTGCCTGCAACCATTGTCCAGTCTCAGAGGCATCGGCTGGCAGATCTTCAGTTCTGAAAGATACTAGTAAGCCTTTCAATGATGAGAAAGTTCCTTACGACTTCTGCTCGTGTCACCACCCAGGCGCACCTGCTGTACCTCTTGTCTTCAAGGTACCTTTGCATCCTCCAGTAATAGCTCTTCAAGTGTAGAATGATTGTAGGCGAACTTCCATTCTCCGGGATTTCCATTAGAATTTCCTTCTGAAAGCCTATCTGCTTATGAAGTTCATCTAAGAAGCTTTCAACAATGGTCCTATTCCACCCAGTGCTGGAGAAATTGCTTTTGTTGAAGACAACAAAGATATTCTGGAGCATCTCTTGGATGATGAAGGCAGCATCTCTCTTCTCCATTTGTCCTGGGTGCTTCACCTCCATAGGGATCTTGAAGTCTACTCTGTAGCTGAGGCAGAGTGGTCCATGCAGCTGTTTCAGGAGCTCCTGACAAACTGAATTAGTGCTGCTTTGTTTGAGCTCAAACTCCTTGTAGTTGATGGACAGAGCTGTGGGGAAAAACAGCAGAAATGCAGCTTGGAGGATGCACCTGTTGGTCATGATGGAAGCTGGGCTGGTGCTGTCTGCTACCTGCCAGATGAGGCAGAGGCTGCCAAAGGCTGCAAGTGAGAATGCTCTTCCTCCATGGCCTGAGCTATTTATAAGGGATGGTCCTCTCTGCTTCAGAGGAAATTCCCACTTTCAGTTCTCCCTTTCAGTTTTCCTATGTCATTTTTTTCTTGTTTTAACATCTTCTAATATTCATTTTTATTTAAGCCCCTGCTGACTTTGTATACTATATACTAGGTTAAAATATATGCAAACTGTAAGCATTTCTAAAACTTTGTGAAGTTTCACTAATTGATGAAGCAAAGGAAGAGAAATACCCAGAAGAGAACAAAGGAGAGCAGACAGACCTGAAGACAAAAGAACTCTCAAATAGCCAAGGTGTCAACGGAAAATCCAGGCAGCATAGTAGTTCATTCCTGATGGCATGGCTTCTGCCCACTGACACAGTGGGTTGGTGGGAGGGGGTCTCTGTGAACTCCAAGGGTGGCATACAGTAGTGTACTATAAGAGAAACTTCGTAACAACAAGCTATAGCTCCCCTTTGGGAAAGGACCCCAAATCTTGGAAAAACTGCTCAAAGTGGGATCAAATTTGAGCAGCATAGAAACAAAGACCAGGGAAAGGAAGTCTATGGCGTGGGCAACTGAGAGAGGTGGACTCGTTGCCCAGCGCTTCCTCAAAGTAACAGAAGGGGGAGCTCCGGGAATTAAGAAAAACCAGCCTGGGCCTTTTCTAAAGAGAAGGGTGGTGAGCTGTCATAGCAGAAAGAGTATGGAGATAGGGCCAAATACAGAGTTATCAGCAGCACAGTGTCTCTAGAGTAAGGAAACTATTCCAGCATCATACACACAACAGGGATCACAGTTGCAGTGCTCTCATTGAAGAGCTTGGCATATGAAGGAATTATTTAGAATGCTATGAACTAGAACGAGAAGCTCTAGGAATGAAGTAAGCAGAAATAAAATTTAAAAAAAAAAGTTTGATTGACTTGGATACAGTCCCAAAGATGATTTCTTTGGGAGCAATCTCCACTGGAGAAAAACCTTGAATATTTTGAAAATTATCAGCATCTACAAACTGACAACGCATAAACATATGAAGTGGAAGGTCAATGACCAAATTCCAGGGGGCAGGGAAACAAGGAATATGAAAAATGACATTGGAACAAGGGTGATCTATTGCATCAATATGTCACTCCCAAGGCATAAAGGAAAATACTGATAATGCACAGGCCTATAGTTTCAACACCTGAGAGGTCAAGGCAGGAGGATTGCAAGATCGAGGCTAGTCTGGGCTACACAGTGAGTCTGAGGCCAGCTGTGCTGACTAATTTTATGTCAACTTGACACAAGCTAGAGTTATATGAGAGAAGGAACCTCAACTAAAAAAATACCACCATAAGATCCAGGGTATTTCCTTAATTAATGGTTGATCTGTGAACGGCCCAGCCCATTGTGGGTGGTGCTAGACCCTGAACTGGAGGTCTAAAGTTCTATAAGAAAGAAGGGTGAACAAGCCATGAGGAGTAAAGCAGTAGGCAGCATTCTTCGATGACTTTGCATTAGCTCCTGCCTCCAGGTTCCTACTTTTCTTGAGTTCTTGTCCTGACATCCTTTGATGATGAACTGTGATGTGGAGGCTTAAACTGAATAAACCCTTTCCTCCCCATTCCCAACTTGCTTTAGTCATGGTGTTTCATCATAAGGATAGTAACTCTAACTAAGACCAGACAAGGCTACATGGAGAGACTTTGTTTCAAGCAAATAAACAAATGCCAAATTAAGATCATCAGAGGAAACCATGTAGAAATTAGTAACTTATTTTGAACTGAAGAATTTTAAGAAATGGAATTGTTCCTTTAATATGCCATACCATCGTTAGGAATTTACCCATGGCTATCTTTGCAGAAGCAAGTGTGTGTGTGTGTGTGTGTGTGTGTGTGTGGTTACATATTACACTTGTACAAGAATGGTAAATTTTCATTACAGTATTTCTCTAGTTAAAAAAATAAATTTTCATCTTTAGAAACTAAGTAAGTAATACTATATTACAAATGAAATGGAATACTATAGAGCACCTGAATGGGCAATTAGCCATATGGGATTATGTAACAAACATATTTAGTGAAAAGAGCAATGCATATACTAATGGATATAGTCTTACTTATTTTATAAATTAAGTAAAAGGTATATTTGTATGTTGGTGTATGAATATCGTAGTTTTTTTTGGCAAGTACATCCAATCAAATATCAATAGAAATTATGAAGGGATAATGGAAAAAAATGATGAAAGAAAACATCTTTCTCTCTTCCTTTTATAGCCATAGACCTATTTCAACATAAGACTTTCTCCATGATAGGATACCTTGAGGCAGGGTCATAGGCATCTTCATAATTTGATGCACTTTATTTGGGGTAATTTAGATGTAATATTAGGTTTTGACTTTTTTTCATATACCCCTTTGTACATTTTATAATGTATCTTTAGATAGCAGAATTATACAAGCGTCTAGTGTCCTATAGTTGCAGCAGAGCGACTTATTCTATATTTTATAAAGAGCTAGAAGAGAGTCCCAACATGAAAGCATTATACACATCCAAAAGGTGGTATGAGAGTTTTGATGTTAAATGTTCTCCCAAAGTTGCAGTCTCCATGGAGGGCCCGTTGGTAGAGTCTTTTGGAGACAAGGCCCAGTAAGAGGTTATTAGATCATTGTGGGAAGGGGGTTTGGCTGCCTGTTCCTCGGTTTGCATTCTGTCCATGAGGTGAGGTTTTCCAAGACACTTCCTCAGGCCTTGATGGGCTGCATCATAACCTCAAAGTAACAGAACCAACTAGTAATAGGCCTGGGCAGCAGAAACAAAACTTCCCTCTTTGCAAATTCATTCTCTCGAGTGTACATTGAAATTATAGAGTGCTAACACAGATGGGATTCTGATTATCTTGTTTTAATTATTACACATTGTATACATTGTGATTTTCACTGTCTACCCCATAAATATGTACAGATATTGTGAATATATCAATAGAGCACTGAACACCCAGTTATACTGAAAATCGGGGCATAAGAAGTACCCACAATGCGGCCATACAAGGATACAGGGAGGAAAATGAATAAGAGGGGCCACGTTAACATTCTTCTTAATAATCCTTTTGTTTGGTTTGTAAATAGATGGGCTTTCCCCTAGTTTTTGCATTGTGCAATTTCCAAGCTTTTCACTGTTGAATATGTATTCTTCTTAAATAGACTAACAGCAAAATGGAATCAACAAGACTTAGCTTTTGAGTTTTTTTCTGCCCCTCCTATGGGTTGCAGTCTCTTTTAGCCTTTTGGCTTTTGCATGCTAGCTCTTAGCAGAACTGCAGCTACTTCAGAATATTAGAAAAACTGCTCTCTGAATGGGTTTCTAAAACACCCATCTCTCTATTATTGCATTTGTACACGTCTAGTGACATCAGTGAGTGATGCCTTAAGCTAGATCTCTTTCCTTTTCCCTTTCTCTTTCTTCTTTTCTTCACTTCTTCCTCCTTTCCTCTTATTTCCTAACCCCACCCACACCCCCAAGCATTTTTCATTAGCCTGGAATATATATGACATAAAGACTAATGCAAGGAGTTTCTGAAGTAATTAAATGTAGTTTCCCTATTTCATTTAGCAAGAGACTTGAAATCTCCTAGAGAGTTGCCTCTTCCTTGCTACATGCAATGGCCTCTGATCTTCCTTACAAAGGGCACTTGGGGAGCTCTCAGTCAGCTGGCACTACAGATGGAGTGGCAGTGGTAGAGGTGGCATGTTTGTTTTCATTTGGGTGGCATCTATGAAAAGTTCTCATGGTAAATATTTGAGAGTATTTAATAGTTCATATTGTGTTGCTATACCATATTGTGTTACTATAAAATATCAGAGGCATGTAATTTTTACAAAGAAAAATGCTTGATTTATTAGACAGTGGAGGTTCAATGTCCAAAATTGAGTAGCTGTATTGGTTTGGCTATAGCAGGACTAGAGAGGATAAAACTCTCTAAAAAACAGCATGTAGTCAAATTTAGGATACTGTAAGGGTAACGTGTATCACTTATAGTGACTGTATAAAGAGTATAATGAAAGGGTTTAAAATGAAACTGCCAGTACAAAATCTGTTAGTGAAAACATATAAAAGCAGGTAGAGAAATGGCTCAGCAGTTAAGAGCACTGGCTGCTCTTCCAGAGGACCCAGGTTCAGTTCTCAGAACTGAAATGACAACTCCCAACTGTCTCCAACTCTAGTGCCAGGGCATCTAACACCTTCTCCTGGCCTCCACAGGTACCTCATGCACATAGGTCAAAGGCAAATGCTTATACACATAAATTAAAAATAGGGAAATCAGCATAGGGCCAAACCCAGGCCCTCTGAATGTGGATGTCAGCTAGAAGGCCTGGGCAATCTATGGGGCCTCTGGCAGTGGAACCAGGATGTATTCCTAGTGCACCAATGGACTTTGGAAGTCCATTTTCCACATAGGGATACTTCCTTAGCCTAGAGACATGGGGGGAGGGCCTAGGCCCTACTCAAAATGACTTGACAGATTTTGATGATCCCTCATGGAAGGCCTCACCCTCCCTAGGGAGTAGATAGGGGATGGGCTGGGGAAGGGGTTTTGGTAGGGAGGATGGGAGGATGGGAAGGAGAGGAAACTTGGACTAATATGTAAAATAAGATTGTTTCTAATTTAAATAAAATTTATTAATAAAAAATAAAATTCTTTAAAAATAAATTAAGAGCGGGGCATTGGTGGTGCATGCCTTTAATACCAGCACTCGGAAGGCAGAGGTAGGCAGATCTCTGTGAGTTCCAGGTCAACCTGGTCTACAGAGTGAGTTCCAGGGAAGGCTCCAAAGCAATACAGAGAAACTCTGTCTTGAAAAAACAAATAAATAAATAAATTAATAAATAAATAACACTATAAATAAAACACAGTGGAACTAAATGTACCAAGTTTTTACATATGAC